TTTATCCAGAAGCTGGCGATGCCCACCAGCAGCCACTGTGGACACTTGTGATCTGGGAAACATGCCGTCCCTGCATTTGTTTGAGCCATGTGAGTTGGACTTCTTTTGCCTCTGAAAACATTCTTACTTCATCCTGCAAATATTTGTCTGCTTCTGGGCTACTCAATGTTCCCAGCAGAAACACGAGGGTTTCTTCCTCACACGTGGCGGCAGGAGATGCCATGCCCCGCCCCACGCACAGCCAACACTAAGGCGCCTCCAGCCCTGTGTGCTCATTTCTCCTTCTAGAACAGACTGCCCACTTCCCCGGCCACAGACAGCTGGACGCGCTGCCAGCCCGTCTCCACGGCTGGCCGCTGACTGCGCCCGCTGCTCTGTTTCTGTGAATTTGCCCATCTCCACACACCTGACCGCTGCCCTGCCCCCCCGGGCCCGCAAAGAGACGGCTTTCACTCTGGGTAACAGGGGAGCACACACCCCGAAGACCCCGCTCTGCCTTCCACGCCGCTCCTCGGTGCTGGGACCCAGAACCTGCACCTCAAGGAGGAGCAGAGGGCGAGGCTCACGGTTCCGGGGGGCTGGAGCCATGGCACAGGGGAACTGCTCACCCACGGTGCAGGAAGCAGACAGGAGGGAGAATGGGGACCCCCCCAGTGACCCCCTTCTGACCAGGCCCAACCTGCAGGCCTGACGTGCTGGGAGACACTTCACCCTGGGGCCAACGGGGGGGACCCCACTTCCACCTTTAGCAGGAGCCCAGAAACAGAGGGATTTCAAGATGCACCCCAAGAACACAGCGAGCTCAGCCCAATGCCAGGAGTTGGGGGGCCGGAGAGCTCCCACCAGGGCAACCCCCGCCCAAGTCCCTCACGCCCAAGGGCCACACAGATGCACAGGCTCCTCCCTCCTGCCTCTGGCCACCTCGGCGTCACATGACACTCAGCTGCCTGGCCTCGGACCTCCGGCACCCTGAGTCCAAGCGAACCTCTTTTCTTCCTAAGTTACTCAGCCTCAGGGATTTTATTATGGTAACAGTGAACGGGCTGAGGAGGCCTCTCACCCCCCTGCCCCCCGACACTGTCTGCTGTCCCCATCAAGCCCCCCAATCTCTGACCTCCGTGCCAGGATCAAGGTGGCCTCTTGTCTGCATCACCCAGAAAGGGACCAGTGGTTTTAGTCATAAGAGATTTGCAGGAGAAGCAGAGAATCAGCACGAAGCCAGGAGAGAGGCTCGGACACCGGGGGGACGACGCTGACAGACCGAGCCACCCAGCAGGCTCCTGGCCGAGAAGCCATGCAGCCGTTTTTAGCTTCGAAGGCAGTGCGGTGAGTATGGACGGACTGAGCACAGCAGGGCGGCTCAGCCACTAGGGAGGCTGAGGCAGGAGGGTCCCTTCGGTCTGGGAGTTCGAGGCCAGCCTGGGCAGTACAATAAGACCTCAGATCACAAGGAAACAGAAAGGTGGGTGGAGTGGGGTGAAGAAGAGGAGTCTGGAGTTTGGGGGTCCTCACTGTACAGCAGCGAATGTTCTCTGCAGCTCACTGACCGCTCTGTGGGACCGGGAGGGGGGTGGGCAGCCCCTCAGGGGCCTTCCTATGCCGGCTTGCGTCTCAGTGGCTCGCGTGAGTTCGAGGCCAGCCTGGACCAACCCGACACTAGGCATGGTGGTGGCCCGGGGCTCTCGTCCCAGAACTCTGGGAGGCTGAAGCGGGAGGATCACAAGTTCAAACTCAGCTTGGGCAGCTTCGCGACCGTCTGCCTCAGAATGAAAAGTGAAAGAGATGGTGGGGATGTAGCTCAGTGTAAAGGCCCCGAGTTCAACCCCCAGGGCCACGGAACAAACAGAAACACACACAGGGGGACCAGGAGTCCAGAGAGGAAATTTACCCTCAAATAAGATAATCGCCCCTGAATAGTTAGGAGCCCAGGTATGCACAGCCACGCCTGGCTAACGTGGTATTTTAGCTGACATGTCTCCGGAAGAATTTTATCCGCAGTAAAGACGTTTACACACAGGTGAGGCTTTACACACCACAAATGCACACCAGCTGCCTGGCTCAGTGCGCAACCTGCACAACCACACACGGCAGCAGCCTCAGGTGCACTGTGGCCCAGACAGGCGCTGCATGGACTTCATGCCGGTTGCTGTCACCAGACACCCCTGACTGTGAGGGGGTTTCCATCCACTCGGAGGAGATGCATGCACGCACACACGCACATGCACGCATGCATGGCTGGTTTGAGACCAGGGCACATGCGGTGACCAGTGCAGCCTGCCCCGGGCCTGCCTCTCCGCATCCTGGACCCGCTCAGTCACAGAGACGCGTTCCCAAGTCCCCTCAGCCACAGCTCGGCCCAGATCTGTCCCCATGGCCTTCAGAGCAGACAGCAAAGGGAGGGCGGAGGAAGAAGAGGCTGGGGGTCGGGGAGCCATGCACCTGGGGGTCCGTGAGGGATGCGGACGTGGACACGCAGCGGTAGACCAAGCGGCGGAGGGACAAGGGCACCCGGCAGGCTGTGCAAAGGTCCTGGGGCAGAAACCCACCAAGCTCCTCATGGAGTAGCAGTGCCTGGCAGGTGATAGGAGCTGGGGTGCAGGTACCCACAGCCATGGCCATGGCCATGGCGAGGCCTTTGCAGAGCCCCAGGAGGACGTGAGCCTGGAGCAGATCTCTGGCTGCTGGGGTTAGTAACAGCCTCAGGGAGGGGAGAGACCCAGGCCAAGGCCACGGCACTGAGGCCAGCAGGAGACGAGGTCAGCAACCCAGTGGGGCAGCTGAGGGTGGAGCCTGCAGGCTGGCGGGGCATTAGCCATGGGGTGGGGGGGGCCACCGAGGCTTTCAGCAGAGTCCCAAGAAGTACGGGACACTGTCCACTGGCGGAGAGTGGCGGGGAGGCAAGGCCAGTGCCACACGCCTGTCACCCGGGCATTCTGGGAGGCTGAGGCAGGACGATTCCTGAGAGTTTGAGCCAGGTGGGCGAGTTACCAAGACTGGGACTCAAAATAAGTCATCAGAAAAATGTTTGGGACAGAGCTCAGCGCAAAGTCCTGGGTTCCAGCCCCGGTGGCACACAAAGCAAAGACCCAGAAGGACAGACAAGGGTTCAGGGTCAGAATCGCCCACAAACGGTAGGAAAGCACAGACAGAAAATCCCGGCGCACTCTCCCCTGGGCTTTCCGAGTCCGGCCCCAGGCTCCTCCACGAGGGAGAATTTCTCCTCTTGACAGTGGACATCAAGAAACCACAAGAGGGACACGGGCTGGAGTTCGGTACACTCGAGCACCCGAGTGACAGCCCACTCGGGTCACCACCCGAAACTCACTGAACGTCTTTGTATGTTTGTTGTGTTTTTGAGATGGGGTCTCCCTATGTGGTTCAGGCTGGCCTTGAGCTCACTGTGCAGCCCAGACTGGTCTCAAACTCACAGCCATCCTCCTGCCTCAGCCTCCCAAGTGCTGGGCTGACGGGCAGCTACACTCACCACATGCTAAGTGGTCTGGGGCTTCCTGGGTCTCTCAGGAGGATGGCCTGAAAAAGCCAAACGAGGTCTGCTCAGGGTCCTGCTGGCCACCAAGCTCACGCCAGGCCTGGCCTGCGAGCTCAGCCCCTGGGGAGCATAACTCGGCACCAGCACTCCTCGAGGCCGTTTGGCAGCAAGTAGCGCAGCCGGGAACTCGAAGTCCATGACTCAGCAGCCCCAGTCCTGGAAAGGCGCCCAGAGAAAACTCACTCTCTGAGGGGACAGCTGCGTCCACCACAGCCCAAAGCCAGGGACCACGGGGGGATAAACACAGGCAGAATATTCACCCTTCGGAGTACTATGCAGCAGTGAAAAGGGATAGAGAGATCTGGCCCCATTAATCAGATCGGGAGGCATGCAAAACACAGGCTGTAGAAGAAACATTTACTGAAAAACTTTAAGCTGGAAAAAGAGTAACATGTATTTTCTTTCTTGGTGTGCTACCTGAGCCTGAACCCAGGACCACCGCCCTGAGCTACATCCCCAGGCCTTTTATTTAATTTATTTTTTTCCAACCTTTTTGAGACAAGTTCTCACTAAATTGCAAAGTTGCCAGGGCTGACCTTGAAATAGGGATCCTCTTGCTTCAGCCTCCCAAGTAGCTGGGGTGACAGGTGTGTGCCACTGCACCCAGCTTGAATATTTTTATGACATGCTTTAGATAACAGAGTCAGTTTCTAGGCAGTTTCCTCCATGGGGTGCCTAGGAGCATAAAGTGACCACCATGACATGTCCCAGAAACCGGCCACAGAGGTCCATCAGCAAACACTGACACCTCCCAGGGGAGGGCCGAGGGCCTGTGACAAACAGCTCACATGTGAAGTGCTGTACAGACGCGGTGGTCTACACAGCTCCTCAGAGGGCCAGCACTGCTAAGAAACAGACAGGCAGCCAGCGTCCCCTTGAGAAAGTCCTTGCCATGGACAGACAATACATACAGAAAAGGCGGTATTTACACACTGTGGAGTACTACTCAGCCCTGAAGGTGACCTCGAGCCACACACAGGAAAGTGGGTGAACCTTGGGAGCAAGTGAAAGAAACCAGACACCAAAGCTTAGACATCACCCAGCTCCTCTTTCAGGAAAAACCCAAGAGCATAGCTCATTTGCAGACCAAAATCGAAGCCAGAAGATGGAGAGCGGGAGGCAGCCTTTGTGACAACGGGAAGGGGGGTCTCAGAGTGGACGCACTGAGTCAGCGGGAGGCAGGGGGACACGGGACCACCCCCTGTCTAGCACGGTCACCGCAGTCACCCTGGCTCGTGCTGGGGTCCCTGCGGAGCAGGGCCAGGTACTCACCCCAAACCCCATCCCTTTTCCCTTCGAACGCAACCTGACGCCCCGGTTTCCCTGGCAGGGCCGTGGTCCTAGGCCAAGGCAGGAGAGCAGAGGCCGGCTCGGGCCCCTTGCAGCCTCTGCCCTGCACACAGCCCCAGGCCCCAGTATCCCCCACCCCGTCCCCCACCCCGGCACTCACCCTGTTAGCACCACCACGAAGTCCATGACGTTCCAGCCGTTGCGCAGGTAGGAACCTTTGTGGAAGGCAAAGCCCAATGCTATGATCTTGATCCCGGCCTCAAAGCAGAAGATCCCGATGAAGTAGGGCTCCGTGTCGTCCTGGGGGGGAAGGAAGGGGAGGTCAGGGCCCGGAGGGCCCCCCAGCTGCCGCCGGCCTCACCCCAGGGCCTCACCCTCAGCAGGTGTCACCAGTGCAGGGTGCGGAGCTGGGAGCCGGGGTCACCTTCCCACTTGACCTGCCCATGGCGCTCTACGGGCCCCCATTTGTCACGGCCTCTGCCTCCCGCTCCTGACTCCCGTGCTCCACATCTCGGGGCCATGGCACCCCTAGGACCCGAGGGTCCCCCTCCATGGCCGTCCTCACTTGGCTTTATCTTAAGCAAAAAATAGAAAAATCTGGCAATTCCGGGCTGTCAGACCAGTTTTCTGGTCAGAAGATGTAGGGTCCCACAGGGGCGTCACAGGGTTCACGAGGTGCTGAGACCACAAAACCTGTGGGAGGCTTGGGAACAAGGGGCACCCGCCACTCCGCTTCCCAGCCAGGAAGGGGCAGCTCGGGCTGGGGGTGCAGGCTGGGGGCCACACGGGGCCGCTTTCACACAGGGGCCACAGTTCCCACCCCGCTCCCCTCTGCTAACCCTGGGCAGCACAGGGCAGAGGACCCTGCCGCCCCCCGCCCGGCCGCGCACCGCGCCCGCTCACCAGCCGCTCGGACATTGGGGTCTTGTCGTCGTCCGGCAGGTGCTGCTCCAGGGCCAGCACGATGCAGTTGGCGATGATGGTGGCTAAAATCATGTATTCAAAGGGAGTGGCTGGGGTTAAGGAGAATCTGTGCCACAGCAGAGGAGGGGACGGCAGAGCGCGGCCCGGGCGACTGGGCCCCCAGCCCACCCCAGCCCTGTCCCCACGCCCTACAGGCAGAGGCTCCACACCAGCTGCCCAAGCGGGCATCTGTTCTCCCGGTCGGTCAGTGGCCTGCCCCTCTGTCCGCACCAGGAGGCGACTTTTTCACAGGTCAGGGCAGAGAGCGATTTCCTTAGATTTTAAGCTTTATAAACACATCTGAGAGCCATGCTGTGGCCCCGGCTCCTGCTCGGAGCTGCGCCCTGGATCCTGCCAGCCAGGGGTGCAGGTCGGGGTCTGTCCGGGCCCTGGGAACCGGGGTCACACGGCAGCTGCGTTCTGCACAGCGAGGCCAGGGCGAAGGCAGCATGGGGCCCGCTCTGCCCATCACAATGGAAAGTCTGTCCCTAGGAGCAAAGAGACAGCCGCACTGGACACGACTGGACACCGCCCCTGCAGCGACCCCTGACGGCACAGGGTGACCACGAGGCCCAGCGGTGGATAAAGCACTGGAAGAGCCGGGCAGCTGCGGGGGAGCTGCCGCTGCCCAGGGCCAGAAACAGCCCCAAAGTCCACACACAACCAAGGACAAGGAAAGGGACAGCTCATACCCGGGCGTGTATGACACAGCCCAGAGTTGGATGGCCAAAGCTGGGGAGCACTGGGACGTCCATCGCCAGGGGACTGGATAAGAATCAGTGGCACGGACCCACCGTGGAGTACTACGCTGCCGTCAAGAAGCACAGGCTGAGTCAGGAGCAGGAAGGAGGAGGCAGCCGAGGACGCGGCCCGGGGTCAGTCGGGCTCCAGAGCTGCCATGGCTTGTGGTCTCTGCTATGAGAAACCCGAGGCAGAAGTAATTTAAAGAGCAAAATACGACAGGAAGGATGAGAGGAAGCACAGGGGCTGAGGGAGGCAGAGTGCGGGCCCCGCACCCCATGCCCACGGGATGGAGCCCTCGGGCAGACCTGAGAGTGTCAGTGCCAACACCACCCGACACGGCAGCCGCTCGGCCCCAGGGCGGAGGCAGTGGGCGACGGCTGTGTGTTTGGGAGCCCGGCTGCTGGCCCAACACTGCAAGCCCACGAAATGCCATGCTGGTGGTGACTTTAAGATGTGCGAGGAGAATGTCACCTCGGTGACAGCAGAGCTGGGAGGAGGAGGAGGAGGAGAAGGAGGAGGAAGAGGAGGAGGACAGGCAGCGGAGGAGCAGCTTGGGAAGGGGAGGGGGAGGGTGGGGGAGGGGAGAGGAAGGGGGGGAGATGGGGGAGGGGAGTCGCAGCTCTGCCCAGCGCCTCCTTTCCTCTCTCTGCTCTGTCTGTCTGTCTGTCTGTCTGTGTCTCCATCTCTCCATCTCCCATGCCGAGGTGGCTCCCCGGGCCGACAGGGACTCCCTGCGTCACAGGACCCGGCCCAGGCTCCTCAGGGACCAGGATTCCAGTCTGGGCCCTAGGGCACCATGGAAGCTGCACCGCACCCGGGTCTCTGCTCAGAGCCCCCTAAGGCTCAGCTGCACCAACCCGAGCCCCCGACTGCCCAGTGTCATGGAGACCCCAACGCCCACGCTACACAGAGTGACTGCACGGCACAGGGCACAGGGACGGGGCCAGAGAGGGAACCCCCTCCTGCTTCTCCTCCTCCTCCTCCTCCTTCTCTTCCTGCTCCTCAGGAGCACTACCTGGTTTCTGCCCTGGTCCCACCACGGCCTTAGTTACAAATTGTCCCTCCCAGACAGGAAGCATAAACCCATTTCCCAGATGAGAAGACAAAGTCTGAAGCAGAACCCTCAAAAGTAGAACCCTCAGGACAGACAGACATTCTGAGCCACAGAGGAGGGTTCCATGGTCCTGCAGGCCTCTGCCCCTCCTTGGGCACAGGGGGCTGAGAAGAAACATCCACAGTGATTTTAGAAAGGGGAATGGCGGGGACGACAGGAGAGACAGGGCAAGCCTCGCGTGTGGGAGCTTTCAGAGCCTTTCTTCGGGCTGGGCGTGCTGACGCAGGCTTGCAGTAGAAGCTGAGGCAGGAGGATTGCCTCACGTTTGAGGCCAGTCTGGGCTACATGGTGGGATCCTGTCTCAAAACAACAAAAATTCAAAGAAAGCATTCTATGGACCCCATCTTTCTCAGAGGAAAGCCAAAGCTCCCGAGACAGCCAGCAAGGCCCCCACAGCTCTGCATCCTTCAGTCCCCTGCTCTCTGCTCTGGTGTCTTGGCCACAGCCACACTGGCCCCTCGGTGGACTCCAAGCACATGCCTGTCCCAGGACCTTTGCATGTGCTGTGCATGCTTCAGGAATGCTCTCTCCTCTCTGCTTCCCCTCCTCCCTGGCCCTCCCCTGCCACACCTCTGCACTTCAGCCTTTATCTGAACATCCGCCATCCTTTCTTCCACACTTTGTTTTCATCCCATGAGATGAGAGCATGATGCAAGGGTACAATTTTTTTGGGGGGACTACTTCGCTCACTGCTTTTTCCTCTGACAGCATTCAGATGTAGCAGCTGCTCAGCAAACACCTAAGGGGGGGCCACGTTACTTTTGCACCCCCAGGCTGAGCCTTCACAGCATGAACACGCCACTCAGCCTCTTGAAACAGGCAGGCACAGATGGTGGGCACCCAGCCTTAAGCCGGGGTGCCGAGTCCTTGGCCCCAGGCGGGGATCAAAGGTCACCCTGGGTGGGGGGAGGGTCAGTGCTTTCTCCGCCGACCTGGAGTCTTGCCTGCCTGCGCCTCCCGATTTAGCAGGCGGCTCCGGCTCCCAGCTGCGGAGCCGGCCCTGTGCAGGAGCGGCCGCCGGCCTCTGATTGGCTCAGAGAGAAAGTACCAGAGTCAGCGGATCCGGGATAATCAGCCGCGGGGGAGGGGATCTGGGACAGAAGGGACCTGGCAGAGGGGAGGGGAGCGAGCTGCCGCCCGGATCCGAGGTGCCCATGGACAGGAACACCGCCCAGGGCTCCCCCTGCAGAGAGGGACGGGTCAGGACCCTGGGGACTGCAGCGGGCAGTCATGGCGGGGGGTGACCAAGAGTCCTCACCACGGTGGAGGAGGCAGCACCTTGCTGGCAGCGCCCCAGCCTCCCTCACCTCCGACCCCTACTGCTGGTGCAGGGCCCGCACCGGGTTCCACAGCTCATCAAGACCCCATTCTCCCCTTGGGGGGCAGCCTGCGGGCGCCTCTGGGGAACACACGCATTAAGGAGTCCAGGCTGCTGCTGAGCGGATTGGAGATGCTAAGCAGACCCTGTAGCCCCAGAGCCCAAGCGCCCCACGCTCTGCCTCGACACAGACCGGCTGGGGCCCAGCAGGCCTCAGCCCCTTGAGCCCATGTGCAGGGTACTAGTTCCAGGTGCACCGAAAGTCATCAAGAATGGGTGTGTGACTCGGAGACACAGGCTTGTCACTGGGAGGCTGAGGCAGGAGGATCCCTGCCAGTTCCAGACCAGCCTGGGCTACACAGTGAGCTCAAGGCCAGCCTGAGCTGCATAGAGACCCTGTCTCAGAAAGACAAAAAAGCAAAGAAACAGAGCTGTAAACAGGCGGGAAGGGGCCCTGGGGGGGGACTTATTCCCGTGGGGAATAAACCACTTCACACTGGGGGCACAGGAACCCCAGCACCTTCACCACATGGATGAGACCAGCAGACCACACTGCTCCTGAGTCCCAAGCAACTGTTACAACCAAGTATTTATTTATTGGTTTACTTCGCAGAGCAGGGAAGGCTGCGCCCCCACCTGCACCCAAGCCACGCCCCATTCCATAACAACTTGCACCCCAGTCCTCAGCGTCACAAGTGCACCCCAACCGCGCCCCACCGCTCACGACTGCGGCTTCCAAGCCTCCAGTCGCCCTTTAGGGGCTCCGAACTCGCGGCACACGGTACCCACTAAAACCACTGCCTTCCGCGGCTCAGCCCAGGCCTCCAGCCAGGCCTGCGGGCTGTGTCCACGCAGGCCGCGGGCGGCGTCAGCACCAGGGACAGCGGCGGGAGGCGCCTCCCACGATTCCCCCGCGGGCTGTGACAGTTGCGGTGTGGAGAGACGCCCCACCAGGCCGGCCTCTGCTCAGCACCCCGCACACACCTGCAGCAGACACAAGGGGAAGCCCGGGGCGGGTCGCGGCTGTGACCCTCCCTAGGTCCAGCTTCCTGTGCACACACCGCGGAAATCAGCACCCGCCTGTCTCAGGGCTTGCAGGGGCTCACAGGTCCACTCAGCACATCAAAACAAGGCTGCAGGCAGCCAACACTCAACCCTGCGCTCTGAGCGCTCATGCCTGGCCTCCAGCGATTGCTGGCCTCTAAAGGCCGGGCAGGCACGCTGGTCTCACTGGGGAGTCTCCTTCTTAAGGCAAACCCCCTTCCTGTATGTGCTCAGAACCGCCCAGAGTGCAGCTGGGCTGCAGAGTGGCGGCTGAGCCCTGGGTCCCATCTCTAGCACCATTAAAAAAAAAAAAAAAAAACCAGAACCAAACAAGAAAGCCAAACTCCCCGTGACCCCTTCCCAGCCGAACCCAGAGTCCCAACTCAGCCGATGTCCACCTCCTCCTCTCTGTCCGCAGCGAGACCTGTGTTTTATTTCTCTCCTGACTGTATCAACCTCAGCCCCATCACGGCAAGCCTCTGGCTTGTTCCCAGCTGTGTTCCCTGGCACCATGTAGGTGTTCAATAAACACGACTAGAGGAATGAAAGCGAACCTGGGAAATTGTACTTTCTCCTTATAAAACTAGAACCCTAACAATGTCCTTCAGTTTGCCCTGACCTTACCACCCCGGACCCATCGTTCCCTAGGGGTGCCCAGTGTTGACCACTTGTCCCTGTGTACTTGTGAAGGTTGTCCCACAGGCCGCATCCCAAGACGCAGAATGCTGGGGGGCAAGGGAGGACTCACACCTGCCACTGTCCCAGCGGAGCTCACTGACTCCCCCCAGCCTACAGGTATGTAGTTAAACACACACGGGGCACTGGG